GTTTATATATGTCTGTGCCCCTGTGTGCATATACATACATACACATGCGTGCACACACACATGCACATGCATACGTACACACACACGTGCGTACACGCGCATACACACGCGTGCGTACACGCACATACACATACACGTACACACGCGTGCGTACACGCACATACAAACGCGTGTACACGCACATACACACGCGTGCGTACACGCACATACACACGCGTGCGTACACGCACATACACACGCGTGCGTACACGCACATACACACGCGTGTGTACACACACATACACACGTGTGTACGCGTGTGTCACACATACACACACACAACGTGTGTATACGCACATCCACACGCGTGTGTACACGCACATACACATGCGTGCGTACACACACACATACACATGCGTGCGTACACACACACACACACATGCGTGCGTACACACACACACACACATGAGTGCGTACAAACACACTGCGTCGTACACATGGGTGTAAACATGCACATACACATGTGTGTGTGCCCGTATGTGTTTGCGCACAGCACACTCCCACATGGCTGTGTACATTTGTACCCGCATATGCTCATACATAAACATTCGCATACATGCGTTGTACGTGCATAAACGCGCGCGCACGCAAACGAGACGGAGACCCGCCGACACGTGCCCGGCGACGCGCTAATGAAGGCCGGAGGCGCGGCGGCGGCGGCGAGGCGAAACCGTCATTAACTGCGCAAGAAGGATATCAATCCTCGGCCGCCGGCCACGCGATCCTCGTCCTCGCGTGTCTTTGAGGGAGAAATACAGCGTGAGTGAGGGATTAGTGTGCTAAGCCCCGCGCCACGCCCCCCCCCCCTCATGCCTCTCTAACCCCCCCCCCTTTCCACCGTCCCCTCGCCCCCGTGTATTTTTTTCGGGATTTTTTTTTTCTCTTCGTTTTCTATTTCCTTTTTCCAACTTCCCCGGGACACCCCTGTGACGGGCGATAAAGTTGCCAAGACGTGTATTTCTCTCTCCTCGTTTTTTATCCGCCTTCTGTGCTAACTTCATGCGTGTTCGCATCCGTAGGGCGTAAAGGGTGGAAAAAAGGTAAGTATTTCATATAAAACAAAGGGAGAGAGAGGGAATTAGTGCGAGAACTCGAGAAATAATAAATTACGCTCGTACCCCCATCTTAAAGTGACAGATTCGTCAAGGAATGAGACGTGGAGGGGATGCCAATGTCCAATTTATTAATCTCGTTCACTCGCTACGTTGGTATCTTCGCGGTCGCCATATATACAAATTAAGAGATCGTACAAGACCAAATTTCACCTGGCTACCCTACGAAGTGGACGCTGAACTCGCCCATACAATGACTTTTTTCTTCTACCATTGAATGAGTTTCCTGCCTTTTCTCGCAATTAATTCAAAGGTGTACCAACCCTTCCGTCCATCGTGTCCAAAGGCCATATTCGCTTTAACAAGTCACCGTTCCTTAAAAACTCTGTTGATTGTTTTAAACGCCTACGACTTATGTACTTATATTAACTGTGTAACATATTATCGTCCGTATCAAAAAGAGGAATAATAAAAAGTATGTTAGAAGTTATCGTGGTTGGCAGCCCTGGGGATACGCAACGGCTGGCGCTAGCCTCACACAGGGTTCAGAGAAATCTTGGGAACTGTGCCTATCAACTGTAGAAAGTTGTCAACTAGTATTTTTCCTACTTTTACCTTCTAGTTTGTCGACAAAGTTATAATTAGCAAAGTTAAGTAAGTAGTTGTAAGTTTTATGATTGATTTCTAGTAATGAATAGTATAGGACAACGCGAAAGCGATGCGATGGTAATGTAGCGTCAGAATATGTAGTTATCGTACAATAATCTAGAGTTGCGGGCAAGCAACTGTCACTTGCCAAGCCTTGACAATCTGTTGTTAAGATCCCTGTATGTCAAGTCATATTATTATGCACACACTAGTAATTCATGCGATTCAACAAATAACTTATATTATTCTTGATCTGGATGGTAATAAATAGCTATTCAGGTAAAATAAGGGCGTGAGTGGGATGGTTCATTATAGCGGGGTAGTGAGGGGGCTATGAACCCCGCTTATAAGGCTGAACCTTATATATGTCTGCGTGGATATCTATGTCTGTGTAACCCTCTATCTCAGAACTAACGTCCACAGAAAAATGTCACTACACATATGAGATACGAAACTCAACCATGATTCAGAAATAAAGGTTTTGCAAAAATACTTAGAGGCGCTGAACTGAGTCCTCACAAATAACATTATGGTTCGGTCACGTGATCTGTGATAAGTTCTCGCATCGCCAAATCTCTCATCTCTGGCAGTTATTTCCCCGTATCTTTATATATTTATGTTCAGGTAAGAACATACACGATCTCGGGCAATAAGAGATACCACTCTCCCTACCGAGGAAAAAGTTTAAACAAAAATTGGAAAAGTTTGGAAATACCGAGTAAAAATCGGCACTCGACATCCCCGACGGAGATCGCGGTTCCATGACGTCGTCTGCTTCAGTGTGCTCTCAGAGCTTGGTACGTGTGGTTCATGTGGATTTACGCTCTGGATTTACCCGATTTATATTCGACTGTCAGGTAAGTGTTATAGCACTACTTGAAAAGAATAAGTGGAGTGTGGTTGTCGAGGCGGTGTGTTCGCCCTGGGATGATTCTGGAGGTATTTTTTCGTCGGAAATCTGTCAAAACCAAAAACCCCCGCCCTGTCTTGACCTCCAAAAGAAAATGGCGGACGAGAGGCGTAGCGGGGCGACTCGGCTCCCGCGCGACTTTCCATCGGTTTTTATTCGTTTCGGGCGCCTTCCGGGCGGGCCACGGGCGCGACGTCGGGACCGAGGCTTCTTCAGGATCCGACGTGTGTGACGGGGGAGGAATTTTGTCCGATTTCCGCCGCGGGAGGGTCGAATCGGGGGTCCAAATGCGCAGCGGTGGAGCCTCGAGCTGGGGGAGAGGCGCGCGTGTTGCCCATTTCGCCGATTTTACTCCGATCGCATAAAGGGAATAAATGTTTGCGAGGTCCGTGACGCAAGGACGACCCGTGACGGCGCTCCCGGACGGGCGTGCGGGCGTACGGCAGCAGAAACGGGGTGAAAAAAGGCCTATTTTCCCCCCGCGATTCGCCTCCGCTGCACGCTCTCGGGCTGCGGGGAAGAAGGGCAGGAGCCTTACGGCGCTCTTTGTTCTGGGGAGTTTTTGAGCGCTCGTCACCCTTCTTCCTCCTCTTACTAAAGCTTCTTTGTCCTCTCTGGAACGTGGGCGGACTGCGCATTTGCACTGGGCATCGCGGGGTTGTGGAATTTCGGCGGGGTTGGGTCCCAGGCGAGTCGGGAGCGAATGTCGAGGGAGTGGGGTTGGAGATCAGCTGTTCCCTCGTCGTCATCATCATCTGCTGTTGCCCGTTACGGCTCTCCCTCTCTCTCTCTCTCCCCCTTGTCATCTCAAACCCCTCTTTCCTCTCTCTCTCTCTATCTCTCTCATACCTCTCTCCTCCCCCCGTTTTTCTCTCTTTTATCCTCTCTGAACCCCCCTCCCTTCTATTCAGTGACTCTACTTGTCTTCCTCTCTCTCTCCTCCCCTCCCCTCCCCCCCCTCCCTCCCCATCCCCTCCCGCCGTGGAAACCTGCTGGTCGCTTTCTGAACTCTGATCCCCCTCGCTTCCCCCCTCCCCCCTGCTCCCCCGGGTCCTCCCTCCCCCTTCGCCCTCTCCTCCCTCGTGGTTATCATCCCGCCCCATGCCCCCGCCTGCTCCCCCCCTCCCTCCTCTCCCTCTCTCTCTCTCTCGTCCCTCCCTCCCTCGCTTCGCACACGGCAGTTCTGTTCTCTCCCCCCTCTCCCTCCCTCCCCCCGCCCTCCTTCCTTCCTTCTCCCCCCCCCTTCCCGGCTGCCTGGCCGCTTAAACCACCCTTCTCCCCACCCCACCCCCTGCTCTACCATTCCTTCCCCTCTCGTCCTTCGCCACTTGGCCCCTCCGCGCTGTCTCCCCCTTCCCCTCCCTCCTCCCTCCTCTGCCCCCACTCCTTCGCTTAACCTTGAGTCGTACGCATGCACGTTCAGATGCATACACACACACACACGCCACCATGCATACACGATGGCGCGTTTGCTTACCGAACAGTTTCTTTTCCGCATCGCCGTCTCGCTTCTTTCTGACCCCCCCCCCCTCTCCTCCCCCCTCTTCTCTCTCTCTCTCTCTCTCTCTCTCTCTCTCTCTCTCTCTCTCTCTCTCTCTCTCTCTCTCTCTCTCTCTCTCTCTCTCTCTCTCTCTCTCTCTCTCTCTATTACCCCCCTCTCTCTCTCTCTCCCTCGCCGCCCTCCTCTTCTACCCTCCTCTCTCCTCTCTCTCCTCTCCCCCTCCTCCCCTCGCCATTTCTGTCGCGAGGGCCCCGGTCCGTGGCAGGAGAGAGAGAGAGACACGTGGTCGGGCCAAGTTTGCGTGCATGTCACACACATACTCGCAGGCCCGCGACCGCCGCGTGGTGGTTTGTGTACGAGTTGCGTGTGTTTGTTTACGTTTGTGGGCGCCGTGGATGCGGGTGTGAGTGAGTGATAATGCGAGGGGCATTGCGGTTGTTTGTGTGCGGGTGTGTTTGTTCGTACTGTGCGGTGCGGGGCCGGGCCAGTCTCCTTGTCTCCTGCGTGTGTTTGTTTACGTTTGCGGGCGATAGGGAGGGAAGTGGAGATAAGATTGCGCTGCGAGAGTAGGTACCATTGTTTGTGTTCGTGATACGTAGCGAGTGCGTTTGTTCCTGCGGTGGAATGGAGGAGCATGTCTCTTTGGCGTTGTTTTTGTGGTTTGTAGGGAATGGAAATCGTACAGTGAGTCTAGGATTGCGTCAGGAAATGTAGGCTTGTGTTGTGTTAAGGTCATTTTTTGGAGTTTTCGTGTTTACTTCCGCACAGCTTAGTGTGCAACACCGCTACTATTTACTGCTACTTACTACTTACTACTACTTACTACTTACTACTACTACTTACTTACTAC